GTGCGTATTTGTTTTAGTGTTAAAAATCAAAAGTAGTGATATACGTGGTGCATTATAAGAAGATTTAAGTGATTTTGAAGGGCTGGTTGATGATCCTGAAGAAGTAGGTAGTGATATTGATGTAAATTATCAGCCAGATTCCTAGCTATGGTTAGGCTATGCATTCTTAGCTAAACGCTATGTACTGAAATCTGTTTTTTGCCCATAACTTATTTATTTGCAAATCTACTCCCTTATATTATTTGTAATCCTCATAAAATTTAGAACAAAGTTGCTATTTTTAAATATTTATAGGCCTATAATTTATACAATTTCATTGAGCGCGAACTTATTTTTTTTTTCAATTTTTCCAAAATAATTTTTATTTTTACCTAAAAATTTTTTTTGAAACAAATATTCCTTAAGTTTTATGTATGATATTGAAGCCCATGATTTTCCAAACAAAATGGTATAATGGTAGTACCCACATGACGTGTTTTGATAAAAAAAAGTTTTTGGTCGTTTTGGTCGTTTTTCCGCGTTATGGTCGTTTTCCGCGGAAAAAGAACGTCATTTTCGGAATCAGCGTTAAATTTCGAGTAGAATGAAAAAAAAATTCAAAAATCGCGTGCAAACCCTAAAATGCATATTTACCCATTTTAGGGTTTGCACGTGATTTTTTAAAACTTTTTTCATCCTAGAGGCCTACTTGAAATTTAACCCTCCGAGTGTCCATAGTTTAGGCCTTAATGTCCGCCTATTTTTGGCGCATTTGCAAGGTTTTATTAAAACGGATCTGAAAAGCTTAAAACAATGTTAATTCTACTGTTCTATACCATTTTGTTTGGAAAATCATGGGCTTCAATATCATACATAAAACTTAAGGAATATTTGTTTCAAAAAATTTTTGTTAGGTAAAAATAAAAATTATTTTGGAAAAATTGAAAAAAAAATAAGTTTGCGCTCAATGAAATTGTATAAATTATAGGCCTATAAATATTTAAAAATAGCAACTTTGTTCTAAATTTTATGAGGATTACAAATAATATAAGGGAGTAGATTTGCAAATAAATAAGTTATGGGCAAAAAACAGATTTCAGTACATAGCGTTTAGCTAAGAATGCATAGCCTAACCATAGCTAGGAATCTGGCTGATAATTTACATCAATATCACTACCTACTTCTTCAGGATCATCAACCAGCCCTTCAAAATCACTTAAATCTTCTTATAATGCACCACGTATATCACTACTTTTGATTTTTAACACTAAAACAATGATAAACATAATAAAACACATCAGTCATCGGTCCGAGGTTAACTAACCTGTTTACAAATACGCACGTCAGCTGTCTGCTACAATTACGATCGGCTCGGAGAACATAAAGCGCTTAGAGACAGACCTCTGGAGAAAGCTTAGAATATAATGAAAAGAACGATACCAAACTCGATCCAGTTCAATCCGATTTTGTCAGTCATAGAGCCTTCGCCGTAAACAGTGTTCGTGAGTCGCTGCAGCGACGCATGACACTCGGAGGATTAACGCTGATTCCGAAAATGACGTTCTTTTCCCGCGGAAAACGACCATTAAGGTCGATTCACACACATCAGTTATGGCACGTCGCAGTCCAGTCACTTCAGGCACGTCACAGTTAGTTAACAAAAATATTCTTTAATTGATTTTCTATCGCGCTATCTACACTCATCCGTTGCAGTCCCGTCAGTCAATTTCAGATTTCTTTCCAACGATATTTTTTGATTGTTCGGACGCCTGACGGAACTGTTTGAGGTTAGAAAATAGTGTTATTGTTATTTAAATGGTTGTGTTTATATTTTGAGTACTGTACTGTTTATAACAATCAACAAGATGGAAAATGATAATATGAGAGAATTTAGGTTTATAATTAGAAATTTTGGACTGTAAATTACTGTAAATATTATAGACGGAAGATTGACTGAAACCAACTGACGGACAGTTGACTGAGAAATTGCGGATGCAACTGAGACTGAACTGTAACGGAACTGTGACTCGCATATTTACCGGACTGTTAACTGGAGAACTTAAATCTAGCCTATGTTCACGTGTATCACCTGCCAAGGAGTAAACTTAGCTCTACCAAAATCTTAAGTCCTTAAGATAAGTTTAGTGCAGGATCTAGGCCTATCTTAAGCCTTGCTTACACTGCTGTTATTGAGTAGGCCTAGGCCTAACTTAACTAGGCCTAGGCTAAGTTACATAAGTCAGTGATCAGACGACATAAAATTTGGTGGTCAGATGCAGATTATAGATAACAAGTTGCAAAATAAGAGCATTTTTTGGCCACATTTAGGCTAGGCCTATTTAGGCCACTTCGATTAAGAGGCTAATCACACTGAAAAAAAAATAGTCTACAAGATAACTTCTAACTATTCGATTCCCAGCAAAGATTTACTTACCACTTAGTCAGTAGATCAACGTGTTTTTTGCCAACGCGCGCCATAAGTCCGACAGGCATTTTGTGTTTTAAATAATGAAATAGACAATTTTGATACGACTTATAACCTGGGAACCTTCAAAGGAATGAAAGGTCGTCTGTTCTGTTCTGTCCAGTCCAGCCCAGCAGAAACCAGAACAAAAAGAACAGCCGAACAGCGTTTGGCGTTTGCCAATCTTGCCAACACGAACACATAACACAAAATACCCCCGCCGCAGCAAACCTGCAGACTAAGCGAATTTCAACTCGTCTGATTACATTTATACTAAAATATTTCCATAAATAAGACATATTATTCCCTATTTAAATAACATTAGATTTAACGAGTGCTTAGGTTTGCTGCTACGGGGAAGGTAAAAAGTGTTTTTTGACCATACGTCAATAGTATAGGATGAAATAAATAAATTTGCCAAATTTTATCAATATATACCCATAAACAAGTAAACTACAACAATTTTCATTTTCTCCATAAGAATAACATGGGAATTTTTAATTACACTATTTTTGAATTTTCTCCGTGACCGTTAGGCATACAACAGCGCTTTAATATACTAAATTATTTCTTTTTTTAAGCTCTACAAAACGGTTTAGAAAGAAATCGCAAAATTTTTTGTTTTTAGGTTGAAAAATGGGAAAAACCCATTTTTACCCCATAAAACCCCCCATAAACCCCCGTTCCCATGGTCCGATTATGCTGGATCGCAAACTCGTTCGAATAAACGTAGGTTTACACGTTTGTACCAAATTTCATCAAAATCGGATCATTTTTGCTCGAGTTATCGCGCTAACGGACACATATATATATAAATATATATATATATGAATTTGAACGGATGGTGTTTTTGGCCTCTAGGGACCTCAAAATGAAAAATTAGATCGGTCTCGGGTCCAGGTCTTACCATGAGTACTACGGTAATAGCTTATTCCCTATGTGGGAAATTCGCTAAAAGAATCTGCGTTGGGCGTCTTTGCATTCACGGCCTTTGTTATCACGCATAGCCACCTCTAATACTCAATGTGTACTAGAGCCTGGCCGCCTTTAGCGTCCTTCGTGAAGTGGCAACGTCGCAAGTAGGGTTGTTAACAGTGATGTTTTGTTTCGAAGCAGCTAATGATATTTGTGTATTTACGAACGCTTAGTTACTGGACCATGAAATTATTTAATCCGCTTTTAATGTGCAGATATAGATTTTCAATTTATATTGTTTTGGTTTTCAATTCTGTAAGTTTTATTTCAATATATTTTAATAAATTTATGTTCCTAAATTCAAATTTAAATCAATGAAGTGGGAATTAATTAGATGATGCCACCTATTTGCCATGTTATCTTATGGGACGTCTGAAACAAAACAACCCTGCTTGCGACGTTGCGACTTCGAAGGCCGCAACGCGCCTTTTGTCCGGCCAGGGGCCCATTTCATAATAAAGTACAAACTAATATTATTAGTAAATCAGCTGATCGCCCAATGCAAATCTAATAGAAATTACAAGCTACAAGTTGTAACTTGTAACTTGTAGTTTATTATGAAACGGGCCCCTGGAGTTAAAAGTTAAAGGCGGTCGTGCTAAACACAATGGTTATTATAATCAGAGAATGATGCCATAGAGCCATAGATTAAACTAATACACTCCCTTGTGTTAACATCTTTTATACATCTTGAAAAATATGCACTGGGCCCTATGACACAAAATTCGTATCTATAGGTTCTATATGGGACCCCTTGAGACAATGAATGAAATAAATACATTATCTATGTAGGTACTAGCAGAGTTCCCGTCCTACGTACGGGGTTGGCATATAACTTAATGCTTATTGCAGCTATACTCAAGCTTTGCGTTTGCAATGGGGGACGACACATTTTGATAAAATTTGCATCTTTAAATATACGGTATACAATAGTATAATAACACATCTACCATAGCCTTAATGTTCCACTACCACAATAGAAAAAAATTAATTATTAAAATTTCACAAAATATCAAAAATTATTCATGAAATTAAAAACATAAACATGAACTAGACACGAAAAACGAGCTTCAAAATTTACATGTGGTTGGTTAGTAGGTTAGTAGTAATAGTGATTTTGTTCCACTGCCGTTGGACTGAAAAATCAGTAGCCGCATAAGAAGTAGAAGTAGCTCGTAGTGTGGGTGAAGTGAAGTGAAATCAAACTGTCACTGTCAAGTGTCAAGTCACTGGAATAATCAAAACATAACCTTATTTTTACAACCTAGTAATTGGTTCTACTTTGTTTATGATTGAATTCGTGAAATATTAAAGCCTCAAGTTATTCCAATTTTATTACTAATCGAGATTTTTTCGATTAAACTGAATTACTTGCTAAACTCCAGTGTCCAGTGTGTGTTTTAGTTAAATAACATTAAACCTCATGAATTCGAGTTCTTATAAATTATTTTGTGGTGCTCTGGGCTCGGTTATTGGATTTATAATTGCTATATTCTCGAACAACCATTTAGGCTCATATAATTCAACGCCTACAACTATGGACCTATTAGGCCTATACCCCCCTGAGGGTTTTAATAGGAATATGATTGCGGCAGAGAATTTAGGTTCTTCCATTTGGTGCAACATCAGGTTTGATAGTACCAAGTTCTGCAAGTTCAACAATCTATATTACATTCCCAAATTCAAGGGGCACTTTTTCTTTTTAATTAATGAGTTTTCTGTAATATCTGGAGTTGATGATCTAAAAAAATTAAGCCTGTCAACAGTTCAAAACCACAGTGGATTATATTTGAAACTTATACTGATCAAATCCACTCATCATTTACTTAAAGAAAACTTTACTGTAGCAAATATGAACTCATTTATTTTAAAACGATTTAAACCAGACAATATAATGCATGTTATTCATGACGACTTGTTACCACTCTTCGTAACATATAAAGAGTTGTGCTCAGGAAATATTTCATTGTGTTCATCAACTTATCAATTATTGTTGATGGACAGTCCAAACGATAATGAACCATATTATGAATGGTACAAGCACTTTTCTATCCATACACCCATCATCCTTGGCAAATTAAAGAACCCATTGTGTATTAAAAAAGGATATTTCGGTTTGTCCAATTCAAGCATTTGGTTTCAATACGGATTTAAAACCACTCAAGGGCCAGTCCTAGAAAGTAATATAAATGGCTTCATCTTGGCAGAATTCAGTGATTTTATCAAGAAGCAGTTCGGGCTGAAAAGAGAAATAAACTTGGACCATTCGGATTTTTTACCAATATTATTATTTAGTCGAAAACTTAACCGTAAAATAATAAATGAGGCTGCTATGCAAGATAGTATGGAATACATTGCCGAGTCAACACTAAAAAAAAACTTTTCAATAATAAATTTGGACTTGTCAACAAATAACTCCACAAGCATAATCAATTATCTACACCAGTCTCAGCTTTTAGTCGGTATGCATGGATCGGCCATGATTTTAGCCATATTCATGCCGCGAGGATCCCGTATCATAGAACTTTTCCCTTTTGGAATACAACCTAACTTTGTATCTCCTTTGCGGGCTCTGTGTCAAAACAAACATATCTACTACAATTATGAATCATGGGTGAACATGAACGAGTCCAACACTATAACTCATCCTGAATATCCACCACTGCATGGAGGAATTCTCCACCTGGAAAAAACTAAACAGGAAGAAATAATAAAAGTTAAAACTGTACCGGCTGTAGAGTGCTGTCATAATCCAGTATATTTATTCAGAATGTTTCAAGATACAATAGTCGATGAAAGCTTCTTCACTATGTTTCACAGCTTTGTTTCCAAACAAACTGATTATGATTCATCCAAACAAACAATAACAAAACATAAATTACAGTATGAAATAGAGAGGTGGTATTTCCCTCCACCTGTGTTCAATGTAAGTTGTATATGTTATGATCAACAGTTAAAACTCTCTTGGAACTATCCGTTTATGCACAAAGGGATAACGTTCAGTATTGCAACTAGCAATGGAGTTTTGGCTATATCAGAAGAAACTAATATCTCGTTTGAAATGAACGAGTGTGACAAAAACAAACAACTATCATTTTCAGTCTGGATAAAGGTTATTGATGGCACAAAAGAAAGCTTGGATTATTTTGAAGAATGTGAAATTTCTTACAAGAGATAGTTTGATTAACATCTCATGTCAAAGTTCCAACTTCTGAAAAAATGATACTGTACATACATCTGTTTTGTTAACAGAACAAACTTGTTGTAATTTCAGTACTCATGTAGGCCTACAAACTGGTTCCAGGAAAAAAATCGTCAAGCTTTATCCATGGAAGAAAATGGGAAAATGGCTGACAAGAAACTTGGTAATCTTTATTTGAGTCAAAACTAAACTATAATTAGCCTATTATTAATTTTGTTTCTACTCTGGTTGCATAATTCCTTCCTTTGTCATCTAAATTTTGTTCTTTACCACAAAATATTAATTCTTTAGAAATTATTTGGGATAATGTCTTACATAGGCTAGGTTTATCTCATTAGCTCTAAGGCCACATCTCCACTTGCTGTTAGTTTTAAATCTAGAAAGTGTGACTGGAAACAGTGTTTCCATTTGCGGGATTACCTATTATCCCGAAACGGGATTTTAAGACCTTGAGCGGGATTAAAACGGGATTTTTGGCTGTGACAACGACTATCTTTATTTTTTTCTACTTAATTTAAAAAAAAAAACTAACTCCAATTGATTAAAATACTGTGGCAAAATATAATAGTAATGTTTAAACAACTTTTTAAACATGATACATCAAATATAATATTTGGGATTGTACAAAAAATATCATTAATCATATTAATTTGCGGCATGACAGGTGCAGGGTACACTCGACTGCTAGTGAAGCCACGGCACATGCGACAACACTGCAGATTGTGATCTGTATTCTGTTGCATATGAAACCACTCAACTGTTGTGTGTAGTCCATCCAAATTCCAGCACAATACAGCCAGTGGAGCCATCCCATAAACTGTTTTAAAATGACCTTTTGATTTCAGGGAAGTTATATGAAGCAGCTGTGAGGAATTCCAAATCAACAAGACATTTTGTCAGGTGAACATTAATACCACTGAAATTGAAGATTTCAGAAAACTAAGTTATAGGCCTATTTTTATTATTATTCTTGTAAATGTTAAAGATTTAAGATAGATAAAACATCTTGCATTTTGATGTTGGTGTTTGTTTGTTTCTTTTACTTTCCTAGTAAAATTGAATTAACGATCAGCAATCTGACACATGCTTTCTCCCATTATTTTGTCAATGCATTGTTTTACAAAAAAAAAAAAAAAACAGGAATAAGAATGTTTTTGGCCTGTGGAGACCTCAAAAAAAAAAAAAAATTGTTCCCAGGTGTTACCACGAGACCTACGGTAATAGCTTTCCCAACATGGGGAATTCGCTAAAACAATAGTTTCTGATAATCTACGATTAAAAATATACTAGTGCACATGTTGCTCGAATTCGAGCAATTGAAAAGTATTACAGGAGCTATTTCAAAACGAATAAAAGTAATCTTTACAATAAGTTTAAAAGAGTTAACTCAAAGATTTCCGGTGTGTAACTCAGACCATGTTTATCTTCGTTATTGATAAACCTAAAGCATTCCGGCCGGTTTTCTCCTTCTCAAAATGCTTCGCTGTACAGGCTACACAGGTCATTGATAGGGGGGCAATTGAGAACGAAAAGTCGTTTTGGGGTAGTGTTAGGGCGCATTTGTAACCTAATAGTTGACTAGTTGAAATTGTCCAGGGTCAGGTCCTGACTGTGATGATTTAAGCCTATTACGCGCCACTGTTCTGTAGCTGCGATCGTTATCACGATTACGCATCCTGTCTGTTTCATTGTCGTCGCGTTGGAGGCATTTAAAAGAAAATACCCCCGCCGCAGCAAACCTGCAGACTTAGCGAATTTCCATCTGCCTGATTGGATTTAAACTAAAATGTCTCCTTAAAAATATCACATTTATTACAATACAATACCATATTCTTTATTTTAATTCGTCAAGAATTACAATAGTGTCAATACAATAGTGAATTGTACATTCCCCATTTAAACAGAATTAGTTTAATGAGTACTTAGGTTTGCTGCAACAGGGAGGGTAAAAAAGTTTTTTTTAATGTAAAATATTAAAAGGTACTGTGGTTTAGTAAGAAATTAATGTATTTTCCAAATTTGATCAAAATATGTTCATAAAAAAGCAAACTACAACAGTTGACTTAAGAATAACATGGGAATTTTAAAATTACAATTTTTTTGAATTTTCTCCGTAACAATTAGGCGCATAATAACGCTTCAATATACTAAATTATTTGTTTTTTTAAGCTCTACAAAATGGTTTAAAAAGAAATCGTGAAATTAAATGTGTTTTTAGGGTCAAAAATTGGAAAAACCCATTTTTACCCCATAAAACCCCCCATAAACCCCCGTTAACATAGTCCGATCATGCTGGTTCGCGACCTCATTCAAGTTTATCCCGCCTTACACCTTCAAACCAAATTTTATCAAAATCGGACAAAAATTACTCAAGTTATCGTGCGGATGGACACACACATATATATATATAAATTTGAACGAATGGTGTTTTTGGCCTCTGGGGACATCAAAATGAAAAAGTAAACGGTCCCGGTTAGGTCTTACCATGAGACCTACGGTAATAGCTACTTCCCTATAGGGAAATTCGCTAAAACAACAAATAAACAAATTATAGCTACACTTAAGTTACAATCACGCTAACACGATCCGTCATAGCGACACAAAACAACAATAAATACACAAATTTAAGATACAACCATACTAACACGATCCGTCTTGGGGGTTATGTTTACACAAACTTAAATCTATATAAATAAAATTAGAGTTTTGTCTGTACATTGCTCATAATTATATACTTTTAGGTTATTTTTACGTTTTATACATTACAGAAGCAGAAACGAGTCTTATCTCAATTTCTGTCTGTCTGTCTGTCTGTCTGTCTGTCCCTTTGTCTGTAACACTCAAGATGGCATTTTACGCAATCTTCTCCGTGAAAACCAGAGTACATATCAAGATCCAAGCCATTTTAATGTATTCACTGGATTGGCGAGAGTGTCTTTAGTGATTTAAATATAGCCTCACTACTTTGTAAATAAAATTACGGACGTTCAAAAATGCAGTTTTGTGCGATTTTTGTCAAATTTTCGTTCAATTTTTATTACAGAATCGTCTATGAAATAACGAACAGCTGTTCGGATCAAGATTATTTTTTCTAGCTGTCAATGACATGTTTACAAATGCTGTTTACAAATACCGCAACTATTTCGAATCACGTTTTGAAAGCAAATCCCAACCTAGTGAGATTAAAAACGTTTTTCTTACATAACGGATTTAATTAATCGCAAGTGCAATAATATAGTCTAATAGTAAATAACTAGACATCGTCCAAATCGGAACCAGAAATTCTTTGAGTATAAAATGTTTCTTGAGTTTTGACAACCAGAAAGAAGACCTTGAATCAGTGTTGTATACGGCTGTGACACTGAAATGATCGTCGCCAATAGCTTACAAAAAAGGTTTCCACTCATTGACGGCGCTTCAATGGCGATTGTGTAAAGTGTAAAGTAAAAAATCACAACTGCAGTGGGTGATTGTAACAGAGGTTTTACAGAGGAAGTGCTAAACTCGCTTTTCCAATGTGTCACTTTCTGTTTCTACTCACCGTGTGATGCAATCGCTGGACCATACAGCCAATAGGCCCATAGCTCATATCTTGGGTACGTAAGCCTACATATTTATTCATAACAACCTTTTTGACGACGATCCTTGATACCGGTACTTTCCCATAGAATACATGGCCTACCTACTTAAAAAATAAAATTACAAATGACCAAAACCCCAACATTGTGTGATTTTCGTCACATTTCCTTCTAATGTTAATAGATATACTAATCATTGTTTAGAGAATGCGTAATCTATTAAATTACAAAAAGTTGTTTGGGTAAGGTTGCTTTTTTTTCAAACTGACACCGATAAGTTTACGCTATAACTTTTTACGAGAAAATCCAAAAGCAAGAGATCAATAACCTCGAAGCTAGATATTAATGTACAGTAGAACCTCTTTAATCCGAACCCCTGTAATCCGAAGTCCACTAATCCGAACCCCTCATTGCTGTACTCTATACACAGTACAGTACTGTAGTTCTTTATTGTATACTGTATTTAATTTACAGTACTGTTTATTCACCACGTTTACTACTGTATTAAATAAACACTGTATTTTACTTTATAAAACATTTTTCACTTTTCCCAAAATAATGTTGATCAATTTTAGCCATGTTTTAGCTATTGTTATGTATAAACAACAATATGTTCTGTAATCCGAACTATTCAATAGTCCGAACTACCCCTGGTCCCAATTAGTTCGGATTAAAGAGGTTCTACTGTATTTAATTGGTCCGATTTACTGTAATTCTTAGGTAGGTTCTTACGTAGGTACTGGTTCTTTTCCTTAGAACCGGTAGTTTACAAATTAGATATCGTTGGTGTTGCACCTTATTTATTAGAGCCGTCCGTATTCAATTTAAGTGATGTCTTAACTCTGTATAAGTTTTGCTTTTTCTGCCTGGATTCCAAATCTTAGCTTACCCGGTATGCTAAGAAAATGATAACCTATTTGAGTAAAACATTTGTTGGGCAAACCATCATGAATTGTTTACGCCTTTATATTGTTTATGTATCAATAGTTCGTGGCCTTTGTTGGATTGTTGTATTGTGTTGTTTTGTTGTATGTTGGTAACGCATTAATGTCCTTATTTCTCAGTGTTTCACGGAATGGACAAGAGCACCTTTGATACTGAAAATGTCAACCGGAATAAAGTGTTAAATGGTGAGGTTGAGGTAGTACTTTAAATACGTTTAAGTTAACCGATGTGGAAAGTAACTTTCAATTATAGGCCTACTTTAGGGCTACGCTTCATGGATCTATAAAACATTTTTAAGTTTAATCATTGGACATATGGACCAACACGATCCGGGCGACATTTAATTGCGAAGCATTTATTTTGGCTTGAACTGTCAGATACTGTATTTGCGAAGGTTTATATATAATAGTTTTGCCAGCATATCTGCAAATATGCAAACTAATTGCTGCTCTTAATCTTAATATAAGAAGGTTTCAACTGACTACTATAAGATCCCCGTGCGTAGAACGGGCACACAGCTAGTAGTAAATAAATGTACCTACTCGTGTTTCATTGAATTGAAAAATAAGTAACAGCAATTATATTATACAGCTGATCAAAATGTAAACAATTATGTTCATCATAAGGATAACATGGGAACTTTCAAAGCCACTGGGACAGAGCCCAAGGGACTTTTTCAAAAATGTAAGGCCAGTTTGCAAATCTACGCGACACGCTCTTTCCAATGAGACGTCAATGGATAAAATCGGTTAAGAAATGGCGGAGGAGCGTATTAATTATATAGATATTTAGTCTTGCACAGCAAAATTGTAAATTTTTCCCACATTTGAGTGAATTAAGTTAGTTCAGTACAAAGCTCATTTAGATAGTGATTTTGTACTTGTAGCTGTTTTTTCAGTGTCTATATCTATATGTCTGTTGATTTATTATTTTATATTTGTCCATATTGCACATGTAATGTCTTATCATACTGTATTTGACTTTGTCGATTTCCATGTGCTTAACGACAATAAAATTCTTGATTCTTGAAAAAGACTCATTTGACAATTTTCTTATTACTTACTCGTCTTAAAATAAAAGTTCATAAAAGGAATCAAAAGATTTAACCTGAGTAATAACGATTAAAAATTTTATTACACAAGAGAACATTATGTTATAAATATTTACAAGTTGTCAAATCATATATCATATGCATAATTTAAAATATGATTCGCCATCTAAAAAAAAAAAAATAAAAACTGTAGAATTAAAATGAATGCAATTTAACATTTATAGCATAGGTAGACCTATAGAATCTCTATGTATAATAAATGGTATCAGCAATCTAACACATACTTTCTCACATTAGCTTGTCAACAACCTTTATCATGGGTCAGCCACTAATGGCCAGGAGGAAATTTGATACTCTGGCGGAAACTGATTTTCTTTTTTTATGAGAAAATAACATAAGTTGCAATAAATTTTGAACCATAACTTTTACAGCAATGGGAGTTGCACCATTTTGTTCATAATTTAAAGGACCATAACATATTAAATTTTTATCAAAATCGTTAGGTCAATTAAAAAAAAAAAACTTTTCCACCATTTTATGGGTTTTTGTGGGAAAATAATCATTAAAAATCAATATTTAAAAAAAAGAAAAAACTTCTTGAAATCCCATGGATTAGTACCTACATACCAAATTTCATCAAAATCAAACTACAGTTAGTTGTGGTCTGTATCAATCAGTACACATCCACACATACAGACATCACTTTCAAAACAATATTTTGGGTTCAGGGGGACCCAAAACGGAGATATCCATCTAAACTCGAAAATTTTGACAAAAACAATACTTTCTCCATCTAGGCTACGATGGTATAGGGGGAGAAAGTAAAAATTAATGTGTGTCCAGGGGGGCCTTTGTGTGTGCCATGAAACTTCAAGAAGTTGCTGTACGTGTTTGTGTGAAATACAAACTCCATAGGTTTCCATTTTATGAGGTTGTTAATTTCTATCATTAACCATATAAGAAGTAAATTTGTTACATTTTTTCTGAAATCAAAACATTTGATTTTTAAAGCTTTAATAACCACAGCTTCTTGTTTACTTTCAACTAGCAATATGATTTACTATCCAATGCCGTCTGAATCCATAATTTATGTAAAACTGAACATAATTTATATCTATAATAATACCTGAAGCCATTTTTTGTGAACACTTTTTGTGAACCAATTTCAACGTTTAAGGTGTCATATGTTTTACAAAATATCATCTAATGAACACAAATACTTCATAGAAATTAAATTTTCATTATACTGAAGTAAAATCAAAAGCAAATTAATGTAAACAGAAATGATCTAAAAGTTTAATTAGTCACTAGGGCATATAGTGACTCTTTTCGACCCTTCGAATGACTATGAGGGAAGGTTGAAGTGACACTCTTTGCCCCTTGGAGATATTTTTATTAAACTTGGTATAATCTTTAAGTCTACAACTATAAACATTCTCCAAAAAAATCTTTGATCAGGCTCATCAAATTTCAAAATGGCGGCTATTAAAATTTTTTAAAGTCAAATTCCATGAAAACCAGGAATTAAAACAAAACTTTGAAACACAATATGTAAAGTCATTTTTATTACAAATTGAACGACAATTTATTTGCGAAAATCAGATAATAAATTAAAAAGAAAGTTATGCAACTTTTATAATGTTTTTGTCACTAGTTTCTATGGAATTTAACTTTGTGATTTTAAAATGACTGCCATTTTGATAATTACAATTAATAATAAAAGTTACACAACATTTTTATTTATTCTTCAATTTTCGCAAATAAAGTGTCATTCAATTTGTTATAAAAAGGACTTGAAAATAATGTTTTGCAAAATGTTGTTTTAATAACTGGTTTTCATGGAATTTGACTTTAAGCATGTTAAATGTCGGCAATTTTGTTTTTTTACCCACAGCGTTCAAACACACCATTTTCAAGAGTGCCACCATCGAAATTGTATTTCTCAAAGGTCAAACAAAGAGATTAAGACTACTCCCACACCTGCCTCATCAAGAAGCACACGGGTACGTACATTTGACAGTGGACTAATAACAGGAATGAGTTTTTATGAGGAGTTTAAGGGGGTAAAATTATATTATTGCGAATTTCCCATATAGGGAATAAGCTATTACCGTAGGTCTCATGATAAGACTTGGACCCGGGACCGATTTACTTTTTCATTTTGATGTCCCTAGAAGCCAAAAACACCATCCGTTCAAATTCATATATGTATATATATGTGTGTGTGTCCGTTAGCACGATAACTCGAGCAAAAATGATCCGATTTCGATGAAATTTGGTACAATCGTGTAAGCCTACGTATATTCGAACGAGTTCGCGAACCAGCATGATCGGTCCGACCCATGGGGTGTTCTTATAGAACACTAAACATTTGTTATGGCCCAAAAATGACTAATTAGAAAATTTGTAAAGAAAATAAATTTTACTTTAAGATGTACAACATATAAATATTTACAATATATAATATCTAAATTTTGTTGAAGACATAATGGGCGACTGGACCTGTAGGATTTAATTTACAGGATTACCTCACTCACAATAATAGTTTTTTTATAATACATCATTTATGTGCCTCACAAGGAAACCAAATTGGCCATGATCCTAACACAATTAATTAATTACTAGTTGAAAGATATTATGAACATAATTGAAATAATACAATATTGGTCTAAAGTGTAAAGCCTACAAAATATAATATGTGAACACCTTACACCAAGAATATTTCAATAGTATTTATAATTATTTAGAACAAAATAGAAATCACCTCCTAAATGACAAAGAAAATTATCTAATAAATATGTTTAACAAAGTAAACAACAACACAACAAAAACATTTCCAAGAATAAATAGAACACCTTATCAGATAAAGTGATTTTACAGTCTTCTAAATTACTAGATATATGTAACGTAAAGTTATCTTTATTGCAGTAAACAATCCAGCACAAAATCGTGCTTAAGATATAAATCGGGCTCACTGGTCAAGGCGGCTCCATACATGTGCCAGTCGCCAAGCACGAAATATTTGTCATTCGGCAATCTAATTATCTTGCTATATACCGATTAACGAGTAGAAGTCTACAAACATGTGTTGTTTTCCGAGCAACACAATTTCTGGAATACACATATCCACACTACTCGCGATTTGGCGAGTCGCTGCTCGGTGCTTGGCAAATGGGACATTTCTGGAGCCGCCTTAAAAATAATATTGGACCTACAAAAAAACCACAAAAAACCTAAAACGATGAACTTAGATTACATCTGTTCCAAGGTTAAAAGAACAAATGAACTTAGTTTGAGCTGTTGGCAGAGTGTGCCACTGTAAAATAACGTTCTTTCTTTTGTACATTGAATTTTTAGAGTTACAAAACTGAGAAGGCAACTTGTTTTAACCCATTGACTATCACTTTGTGAAAAAAAATATATTTGTTTAAAAATAACACACTCTACGAGAAACTCACTTAACTACCTTAAAAATTGTTTAGAAAACTGGCAACACCTTGTCTGTATAGATAGAATGTTTCCTTTTTTTCAAAGTCATGAGATCATTTTTTGCTACAATTAAATTCAAAGCGTAAAAGCAGCAGAAATACAACTTAGACACATTGCAATTTGGCTGGTGATAAGGAAGAGTTAACAGAATTTATTAGCGCTTGTTAAAAATAATCTGAACTCGATTAAATCAGTGATTTATACTTCCTTGCACTCTTAACAAAAGTGACCTAAGTCGCTGATTGGACAGAATCTTAGAAAGTAACAAGTGTTTACTTCCTTGTGATGAATGCGATTCAAGCACTGTCTTGTCCCTTGGCCATTCTTCGGTCGACAAGCAGGTCTTGTAGCTTGTTGGTAAAAAGGTTTGGTTGTTTCACCGGTGCTGCAGCTTCGTCGTCTGTTGCGTCGTCTGTCAACAGCCGTTTGCCGACCCGCCGCACACCCAACATGCAGTTGATGGCTCGCAGATCCTGTTGGTAAAAAAAATGTTTACCCAATCACATTCTTTTATTTATTTGTTAACGTAGTAAAAACTATTAAGGGCCAAAGGATTCAATGGGGTTTCTTTTAACTCGGTAGTAGTATAGACTATTAAAAAGATGGTGAAGTAGACATCCCATCAATTGCTAGACAGGACCAATAGGTAGCATCTATTTTTATCCAAGAAGAACATGGTTGAATGCACCGCTCAATGAGAGTGTTAAGTGTTGTAGTCTAAAATTCTACATTAAATCAGCAATTTATATCAGCACACTTGTCGGTGGGTTAATTAAACTAAATCCATTTTGATTAAAAAGCTGGCGACAACTGTAACCCACCATGGAATGTCTAGTTCTGGCAATAGCCAAAGATAGTAGTTTAAACTGTTTCCATCCATCTTGAAGTTTTGCGTATCTCTCTGTAAGCAATTTATTTTATGAGTTAACTATGCTGTAAAAAAAAATTCTCACAGTTAAGGTTTTTTAAATGCACCCACCAGTTTAATGGCAATTAGACCATATAACTTTGGAAGAGACAAGCTGAAAACTGGCCCACAAATCTATTCCCTCCATTCACTAAGACTTACCTTGGCCGGGCTGCGGCTGAAGCAGTAGCTGAGTGGTCGTGTGGGAGAGGGAGGAAACACGTTGGGCTCAGACGAGATGAGAGGTCGGATAAACACTGCATGATTGTCAGACACCCTGCGTCTGGGAGACATCGGCACACCGCGCGACACCGGCAGCGGTGACAGCGTCAGGTTACCGTTCTACCACACAGATCGAATTATTAGTCAGAAATCTAAAATCCTTAGCCCTGTTTCATTACAATGAAAAAAAGGCTTTGTAACCCTAATTATATTGGAAGGTATAAAAAATTGTAATGTCACAATATTATGATTTCAATTTAAATGGTTTAACTTTAAATTGGAACGTTCCTGTTCCTGTGCTACTTGGGAGGGCTGCCAGAACATTTATCTGAACGGGTAGAAAACAATGCCCTCTGCTTGTATGCAGATGACATAAGTATGGTATATTATGTCCAACACATAAATTATTAATTCTTTTGACCCAAACTCCTTGAGCGATACATATTTGCGATTTTCAAATATACAGTATCCTTAAAACTATTACATATATCTTAACTAAATCTTATAACGAAGATATGTTTTACGATTTTAAATTGCAATAAAAGCTGTTTGCCGAATAAATAACCATAAACAGACATTTTGTTTCAAAATTGGGTAAATTTATAACTTAATTTACAAAAAAGCCTAGTCATTTTATTTATTACTGCTTTTTTTATCAAACGACACTAAGTTCTTAAAGATCGAACAATAAATAGCCAATCACGATTTTTTTTCTATTGCATGAAAAGAATATTGAACTTCTTGAAATAAAAATGAAAGATTCGCTCAAAATAATTGGAGATTATTTAAATGAAAAAAACCTTTTACTTAATAAAAACAAAACAACCTTCATCAAATTTGAGTGTAAAAAGTCTGGCGAAAAGATATTTGAAAATTTTGCATGTGAAACCAAATTTTTAGGTCTAACCTTGGACAGTACACTAAAGTGGACCTCACATGTCGATAAAATATGTAATAAAATTAGCTCCGGTATTTTTATTTTAAGACGACTATTTCCCCTTTGCAGTAAAGAAATTTTGCGTGTGGTTTATTATTCAAATATACACTCCCATATTGCTTATGGCATTGAAATTTATGGTGGAACAAATAAATTTAACTTAAATGAAATTTTACATTTACAAAAAGAGGCCATAAGGTGCATCCTTAATTTAAATGAAAATGAATCATGTAAAAATTGTTTCAAAGAATTAGAATTCTTTACAGTTTACAGCCTCTACATATATAAGACTATATTATATGTTAAAAGCCGGGAGTCACAACTGCAAAGACAGCAGGATGTACATACTTACAATACTAGGCACAAACAAAATTTTATAATTAAAAAGCATAAAAAAGAAAAATTTAAAGAAAGTCCTGATTATATTGGGGTTAATTTTTTTCATTCTCTCCCTTGTAGCATAAGAAATGAGGAAAACAGAAATAAGTTCAAAAAAAAGCTTAAGAATTTTCTAATTAATGGAGAGTTTTATAATTTTGAAGAATTTACTGCACTATGTTCAAATATGTAAATAAACATGTAAATATGTAAAAAAAAAAAAAATAATAAAATAAAATGGATCAGGAAAATGGTTTTGGTATTAGTTATAGTTTAAGATTAAGACGCATTCATGTACACATTGTTGTATGTCTGAATAAAGATTTATTTGACTTGAAAAAAAAAAAAAAAAAAAAAAAAAAAAAAACTTGATTGCTCAAGACTTTATAGCTAACTTATTTTATTAGCAAATTTCCTATATAGGGAATATAATCGAATTTTCCATACAGGGAATAAGTTATTACCGCAGGTCTCATGGCAAGACCTAGACCCGGGACTGATTCACTTTTTCGTTTTGAGGTTCCCAGAGCTTAAAAAAAGAAATGATTTTGTATATTGAAGCGTTATATGTCCAACAGTTACGGAGAAAATAAAAAAAAAATTTTATTTTTAAAATTCCCATGTTATTCTTACGGTAGTTTGCTTGTTCGTAGATATATTTAAACCAAATTTGGGAATTTTGTTTATTTAAAACTAAGCTCAATATCTTCCCTGTAGCAGCAAATCTAGGTACTTAATGAAATAATGTTAATTAAAAACGAAATAAATCTGACAATTTTTAGGGAACATTTGAGTAGAAATTAGTGATGGGCGGATCCAAGAAAATGTCGGTACCGGATCCGTATCTTGAAAAATTCGGATCCGGATCTTCGGATACACACTGTCATAAGGGCGGGATAAAAAAAACATAATTAACAGAATGCCAATTTAAATCATACTTTTATTATTTTTTATCACAAAGCATCGGGTGAGATTTAAATACTAACGGGATATCAAAAGACAAACACTGAGTCATGGCCTTTCCATATAAGTTATTTGCATAAAAAGACAAACACTGAGTCATTGCCTTGCCGTATAAGTTATTTGCAACAAGAGACAAACACTGGAACATGGCCTTGCCATATAAGTTATTTGCATCAAGAGACAAACACTGAGTCATTACCTTGCCATATAAGTTATTTGCATCAAAAGACAAACACTGAGACATGGCCTTGCCATACAAGTTATTTGCATCTAGATACAAACATCGAGACATGGCCTTGCCATATAAGTTGTTTGCATCAAGAGACAAACACTCGGGGAAAAAACGGTCTTGTACATGGATACAGACAGCTTTGTGTTAGTAAAAAAATCGGGAAAAAATCGGGGTTGTACAGTGATACAGATAGCTTTGTGTTAGTAAAAAATCGGGGTTGTACAGTGATACAGACTGCTTTGTGTTGGTAAAAAAATCGGGGTTGTACAGTGATACAGACAGCTTTGTGTTTAGTAAACAAATCGGGGTTGTACAGTGATACAGACTGCTTTGTGTTGGTAAAAAAATCGGGGTTGTACAGTGATACAGGCAGCTTTGTGTTAGGAAAAAAATCGGGAAAAAATCGGATCCATCAAAACCAGATCCAGCCCAAGATCCGGAATTTTTTGGATCCGATCCGGTGCCGGTTCTAGCTCGGATCCGGTGGATCCGGTAGTCCGATATCCGGATCCGACCATCACTAGTAGACATCCAGCCAGGTAAATGGAAATCCGCTTAGTCTGCAGGTTTGCTGGGAGGAGGGTACTTTTCATAATTCATTTTATGTTATTTTTGGTACATTTACTTGCATTTTAAGACTATGACCAGACTAATTCCATTTAAAATGTCGCCTTTGAAGTAAATAGAATTAAGTTACTTAGAGTTTTGACTCCGTTAATTCTTAAATTTATCAATAGATTACACCAACCTGATTGTTCCCGTTGGTGAATTTCCTCACAAAGTTTTGCAGTTTCAGCACGTAAACTGAGTTGTAGAACTTTATAATGTCACATCTGTTTTCCGACTCATTTAACACTTCCACAGAAGCGCTTGCTGGCTCTTGTCCTTTGGCAAACACAAAAACGTGTTTATTTTTAACAAGAGCTATTTACAATGTACAAGACAATACTGGAAGACCACCATATTAAACTATGTATACATGACACTTGATAATCCAATTTGGTGCTTCGATGTTGCACTAAATGAGTCATTGGTCAAAGTTTGAACACTTCTGAAATTTGATTGGTGTTTTGTATTCAACAAACATGGGTTTTGTTAAATAATGAAAATAAATAAATAAAAATCAAAGTAGTCAAAAAGTACACAGGCATCATTATAAAAATTATTTAACCATCCCTCGCGCCAACTGTTGACCCAACTCAAAAATATTGAGAACCTGCAAACCCTTAGTAGGTCACTTATTTGCGGAGTTCACTCACCATTGTCAGAGCAGTTGTTGTTGTTGGTCCGTTGTCCAGTCCGTGGTCTGTTATACAACAGGACACTGCGGTAGACATGACTGCCAGCCTGGGGTTGTAGTCTGTAGCATTTCATGACCTCCGTAAATGGCTTGTCCAGCCCCTCAATCTGAACAATGTCACACATAGGAACAAATTGTTACTCAGTATGGTGGGTTTTCTTAGCCTTGCATTTTCACATCCACAAAGGACTCAGGACTGTGTGTGTGTGGTACGTGAGCAGTAAAAAAATAAACCATAATGATAAATATTAGAGGTGACACAGTGAGGGAATTGCTGCAGTTTGTCACCAAATGAGCCACTTACTCACTCCAATCTAGGTTTTGGAGCCTACAATCATTGACTATTGGATACAGAAGTTGCTACAATTAAAATGAACATCTTCTAATTAAATTGTGATACTTAATCTAATTTTTTATTGATTATTTTGGATATTCTAATAATTATTTTTTTACTGGTTTATTATACTTAGAATAATCATTTTACTTCATTGTCCTAAGGTTTTAGGGTTTATTGTTCATAATATAAGTAGGAAGGAGTTTTAAGCATTTAATGTTTGGTGCCCTGATGACATTGTATCTTTTGTCATAAGTTTGTGTATTAGGAATGTAATTTAAATGGTTTTAATAAATCTACCTATATACTACATTCTTGATGTTTCTCTTTCTTCTATAATAGTGCAGTAACCAGAGATCAAGATCACATGATAAGATTTTGTAATCAAAATATTTTTTATAAATCCAGAGATAACATCAATTTCTGTTGAAAAAAGTAGTATTTGATTTGATTACCTTGCATATGACGTAGACTGCACACATCAGTATCTGGTCTAGGTGTCGATCCAACATGAGGTCTGTGTGATCAATGATAGAGTGTTCAAAACACGTCCAAATCTTGCGTCGAACCTACAACCACACACACACAGTTAGAGTAACATTAGATGTAAATAGCTACATCCAGCTCAAAACCAATTTGCAATCAAATGTGAAAGCTAGTTTAGAATGAAATGTGTTACCTCAGTCTCTTTGAGATCCAGATGAGTGCATAACTCTTGCATTCTCACTGCTGCTAAGTGATAGAACTGAAACAAAAATATGCTTTTAAGCATCATGTGGGTAAGGATTAAAAATGTAGTATAAGATGTATAAACCAGTTAAAAGTGTCTCATAAAATTAATCCCAAATTTAAATCTACCAACCAAATCTTACCTTCCTAAAAAATAGCCCTAGAGAACCAGTGCGACGGGGTCGATTAGGTTTGGTTTGCCGTTCCTTGAGCATAGCTGGGTTGATGATGACACTACTTCCTGTCTGTGGCTTTTTAGTCTCCGCCTCTTCCCCTGCGGCCACTAAAATAGAAAACAATGTTAGACAAGTTTTTAGCAGTTCATCCAAAAGTTGATAACAATTAATATAATTTTGTGCATAGTTTTTTCCCAACCATTCTTCTAGTATACAGACAAGTTTTTTTTCAGAACAACTTCAAACTTCAGTTTTTGATGGAGACATTTAATTTTGTTCTCGCTGAAGTGACATTTGGAGAGGGTGTCTGTGTGGATGTGTGTACATTTAGGAGCTTCACAACTCGTTTATCATGAGTACGTACCTGAGGGACAAAACATTACTAAAGAGTACAACTTAGTTAGAAGTTCTAAGCCACATGCGCGATGCAGTGCGTCACTATTTAGTTTATCTCTAAAACCAGCCAACAACAGCTTGTCCGTGTGACTTCACATCACCACACAGATCAGTACCAGTAGTCTATAGTGACATGTTTAAGGTACTATAGAAAGTAGATGACAACTTTCCTAAATGATTACACAAATATGCAAACGCCAGACATTCACCTGGAGGTTTAGGAGCCGCTGCTAGGATTGACTGTCCCGGCATGACTGTACAAACTCCTCTAGAGTTGTCTATGAACAGTTTCTTCTTGGCGATGGCGGAGGTGGCAGTGACGGGGGAGTGGAACCTCTCTGAGGCGGAGGGTGCCGGGGACTGGGGCACACCTGGAACTGCTGAAACATTTCATAAACATTCCAATATTTGATTCCAACATTTTAAAAGTTCTCAATGTCTTTTGTAAATAGGACTCTTGTTCTGTAAGCTTGAATTGTTAACTTTTGGAACTGAAGTAGACATCCCATTTGGATCAGCTGTAGCCAATTTTTACTATGCATTATCTATATATCTTACTAATATTATAAATGTGAAAGTTTGTGTGTTTGTTTGTTTGTTTGAAGTTCAATCACGTATAAACCACTGGACGGATTGGGCTGAAATTTGGCATGATGATAGCTTACATTCCCGATTAACATATAGGCATATTCTTATCTCAAAAATCCTTTCGGGCTCCGCCTCAGTGGCTCTGTAATTCCCCATGTTAATCTTATGAGTATTCATATTTAAAGGGAATTGAAGAATTTAGTCAGCTGTTTCAACTAAAAAATTTGGTTCTATGATATGGAAAAGCATTAAAAAGTTATAAGATTTACCAACAGGGTGCAGCACTATTTTTTTTCCATTTATGAAAACAGCTAATTTGAACTAAGCAGCAACAAAAAACTGTGATTCGCAATGAGAACTGTCAAAGTATGATTATTTACAGTTAAGTTAATGTTTTTCATTTCATGAATAATTTGTGATATTTTGCAAATAGTTGATCATTTGTTTTTCTCTATTTCTCTATTGTTTAGGTGAAGTGGTAGAACATTATGGCTATGGTAGATGTGTAATACTATAGAATACTGTAAATTTTAAAAAACAAATTTCATCAAACTGTGTCCTTATTGCAAACGCAAAGCTTGAGTATAACTGCAATAATCATTTTATACTTATATTCCAACCCCGTACGAAGGACGGGTACTCTGCTAGTCTTCTATATATTAATAGGCAAGCATGTTTCTTTCAAACCTTTTTCCTCAGCTTGTGTGCATCGCAAGGAAATTTTACGCATACTGTTAGAAATACATTTGCCCGTAGATATGCAGAATCCCTTTATAAATCAAATTAGGCTAAAAAATAAGCAAAAAAAAATGAATTTAAAATTTAAAAAAAACATGGGCCTTATGGGTTGCCATGCTGGTGACGAAATAACAATAAAATATAAACAGAAAACCAAAACAAATTCCAACCACATGTTTTATTTACAGCGTGAGGTGAAAATAGAGAAGTTAACACAATACTTTTTGGTCGAGTTTTCGACCACGAGGCACTACACTAGTATGTATTACAAGCAACTATACCCGTGATTTGCAAGTTCAGGGTAGGCCTAACCCAAAACAGATATTCACATTCATATTTAATATGATATATCTACCCAGGTTGCAAAAGTAAAAGGGTAGGAATCTAGACTTGTTTTTATGTCTTAAGCAAAGTGCTATTCGCAATATATCAAAGCATTGTGCTCAGACAGGTTACCTGGTAAAACCAGACGACGGATTGCTGGATTGTTGAGTAACGTCGCTGAAGAGTTATCCTCTGTCAACTGACCAGGCAACATAACATCTTCACAACATGGCACTGGCAAACCTGTGATACACATGTAATTAGGTTGTGTTACTACCTGATTGGACTTTCGCCCAAATATTTCCTTTAGCATATGAGATTTATTCCCTATTTAAATAACATTGGGTTTAAAAAATCCTTAGGTTTGTAGGCTACTTAGGTAAAAAAATAAATAAACAATAGGCTAAACTATCACAAACACGTTTACTCCTGCTGCTGGTAAAAATTAACGATCAGCCTTATAAAGGACTTGCAGATAGTTTATTGGCAATCTAGGTCTGAGACTTTAAACTTCTTAATGAATCATTAAATAAAAATTTTTGGTTTAAACTTAAGACAAGAGTTTGAGGTAGATGTAAACAGTTAAAAACAAAAAATTGTGCTGTAAAATTAAAACTAATTGTGAAAAGGAATAATATTTGTAAAAATGTCAAAGCTAATTACGAGTAATATAATTTTGTATTTTAAAAAGAGAAAAATAATTGTACGAATTTAAAGCTGTTTATAGTATGTGAGGGCTCGTGTGAAGGTAGTTAAAAATATTTAAGCTAATTGTAAAAAGTTTAAGCTTAAAGTAGAAAGTGAGAGCTAAATAAAAGGGTCACAAAGATTTTCAATTAAGATAACTGAACTGACGGAAATAATGATAAATAATGAAGTAGGCTAATTATTGATACTGGTACACATTTTTAAAAAATTACCAGAGTCATCGATGGCATCCCACAAAGGACTCTCCCTCTTCCAAACAAGAGATTCCAGTATCTGCTCCTCTATCTAGAAATAAACATTACATCAGATAAAAGAGTGAATCTACCAATTGAGACACATTAACAACTTATAAAAAATTTGGTTCTTTGGTTTAGATTATTTTCTGTACATCCAACCTTGTCACAGCCAGTTTGGACTTTTGACAATTTTCACTTCCATATTTATTTTTATTTAATATTAGTTTAAGTTCAAGTCAAGTTCATAATACTTTATTTTCATTGTGGTTAGTGGCCCAGGATCACTTATTGAAATAAATGGTTTACATTACCTGTCCATCAGTGATGCTATTGTCGTCTTAGGCGACCGGTTTCGGGAACAAAATCCCATCATCAGGCTGTTAAAAATGTCATTTCACTCAATTGAGGTTGTCGGTAAACACGCACATAAAACATGAAACACGAAAACACGGATGGGCATTGTACAAATATTAGTAACTGGCCAGTAGAGGACACTACGAAGCAGCATGGGTAGATGCGTGGTCATGTTTTATGTGCATGTTTTTTGTGTTTACCGACGACCTCAATTTGAGTGAAATGAAATTATTAACCACCGGATGATGGCATTTTAATCCCGAAACCGGTCGCCTAAGACTACAATAGGACAGGTAATATAAACCATTTAATAATATTTTATGTTATTTAGGCCTACTTAACCTCTTTAACATAAATTTTTTATTAGTTTTTGTTTTAAAAATTTGTATTTTCTAAAAATACATTGCTCTTGACTACAATTATTTATTACACATTATTGTTAGGTTTCAAATATCATTTTTATGATTTGATTCATACAGCCAAATTGTTTTTCATCCTGGGGCTCGGTGGGATATGAAGAGTTCTAATATGCGAAACTGAAATGTTTGCTCACTAGGTTGAGATGTTTGACCATGTCTCTGCTGAGCTGCTCCTCCGCGCGTACTGTCACCTCTATCACCTTGTAGAAGTGGTAAGGCTCCACACCCAGAGCCTGTAGTACCCAGGGGAAGGTACGCTGAGAGTTGTACGAGTAGATGACTATCTCTAGACAACAGGCAAACAGTGTCTGGTGGAACACCTCGTGACACAACAGGTTCTGCAACCAACAACGTTAGATTGTAACAGTATACTAGTACCCAGGGGAAGGTAGGCTGAGATGACTATCTCCAGACAACAGGCAAACAGTGTCTGGAGGAACACCTCGTGACACAACAGGTTCTGCAACAACAACGTTAGATTGTAACAGTATACAGTAACGTTAGTAGTACAGTAGTTTGGTTAGTCTATAGGCCTTCAAATATTTTTATTTTTACTCAATGGATGTCCGGATAGCTGATATTAAGAAGACAATTGTGCTCTACTGCAGGCAAATTCTAATTTACGCTACATTTGTGAATAAATACTGTAGACATTTACTGGAAGCAAAATAATACACGACAAAAGATTAAAATCATAAATTTAGTTTGGTCACTTCTATATTTTCTTACAGGTCAAAAAAAATATCAAACCAATTTTGCAAAAAAAGCGTGTACAATAAAAAAATATTAAACTTAATTTTTGGTGATCAGACCTACCTATAAGAAAAGTATTTGTTTACTTTGTAGTAGTGATGGGCGGATCCAAAAAAATGTCGGTATCGGATCCGGATCTTGAAAAATTCGGATCTGGATCTTCGGATCCGGATCCAGATACACACTCACACAGATCACAGATACAAGGACGGGTTAAAAAAACGTAATTAACAGAATGCCAATTTAAATCATACTGTTCAAAATTAAATTGGTAATTTTTAAAGGTTAATAATATATCTTATATATAGAGTAATCTCCACTCTCCAGTTGAGCCCATAATCCCTCTAATTTTTTAGAGACACTAAAACATTTCAAAATCATCAAATGAAACTTTTTGCTAAGTTTGCTCGACCACCAAAAGGGTATCTGTGTATATTTTACTATAGTTCGATCTTGAGTATGCTATATCGTGGTTTTTGCATGCAGCATCCAATTTATTTATGCCTGGATCACCTCTTGTTAATCTCTTCCTTAAATTCGTTCCAGGTCCACAGTACTGATAGCCGGGTATGTGAAGTTCTACAGGTAAAATAACCTTTTGCTACAGTTACCTAACAATTTACATGTTCTCTCACTGATTTGAGAAAGCAAAGTGGACAGCTTTGTGTTGGTAAAAAAGTCGGGACAAAATTGGTCTTGTACATGGATACACACAGCTTTGTGTTAGTAAAAGAATCGGGGGGGAAATCGGTCTTGTACATGGATACAGACAGCTTTGTGTTGGTAAAAAAGTCGGGAAACATCTGAAAAAATCGGATCCATCAAAACGGAATTTTTGGATCCGATCGGGTGCCGGATCTAGCTCGGATCCGGTAGTCCGATATCCAGATCCGACCATCATTGTAGAAAAAAGTAAGAATTTACCTCTAATAGGCCTAGACCTTTTTTAGAACCACAGATATCAACATAATACTACTGACTTATTAACCTGAAGTGGCCATCCCGTCTATAAGGATGAGTTGTAAACAGTTTTTTTTATAAACTTCTTTTTGATCTAAAACAAGCAACAACTTTGCTACCAGAATAGAACGTTGACTTCACACTAATATACATACATTCGAAGGTCATACTTACGTTGCAATCAAAGTTAGGCTTTTTCATTTCGTCCTTAAGTATATTTTCCAGCAACTTATAATACAGTGTTTCGGCCAGTTGTAGCCGTTGTTGGGCAAAGTCTATGTGTGTCTGAGCGGACTGAGTGTATTGAGATATGAACTTCTGTCCGTGAGACTTGATCCTGTCTACAATCTGAGGGTCGTCACTGCAACTGCTGCGAAACATTTACATTTGCTTAGACAGTCAAATCAAAATAAGCTCCATTAAAAATTGCAAGAATTACAAATATTATACAGATTGCCACATAAATCAAATACCAAACTCTGGGAACAGGTCTGTAGGCCAAATATAAATAAATACGTAAGTTATAAATCAAATGTATCCATTATTCCCTTGATATCAAGATATCTGCCATCTTATATATTTTTTAATATATCTCAAAAACCATTAAATATATCCTTAAGTAACTTGGTATAGTGTAATTGAGGTAGCAATGAAATAAATGTGTAAAATATCTATTAAAAATACTCTTTGGTTTTAAAAAGAGAACATTAAAATTTGTCTAACTAGAATTACCATATTATGTAAACAAGTATAGAACACTTTAATTTAGCAACTAAAATGTCCTGTAAAACCATATCTTCCAAAAGGTTTTCTGAATAAAGAGTTCAGAAATGTCAGACAATGGCCATAGATTATTATCATTGCTCAAAGCTAGCAATACATCCTCATTTTAAAATACTTGTTAACTGTCCTATAGTTTATGATGTTTCAACGAAATATGTAAAGTATATTTAATAACTAATTTTAAGAGCCTGAATGTGTAGGTTACCTAATCAGTTGTTGCAGGTAGGGTGAAGGTGCTGGACTGCGGCCACTCAGTAGATTCTGTAGTCTTTGTACACTTTGTGTTGCTGTCGACACGGGTGTTAGACTGCCAGGGTCCTTGGCCTTTAGATACCTTCGTCCTGTCAATGGGGTGGCTGGAGTCAGCTGCGAGACCTGTTACAAAACCATCATGTTACTGTAGGCCGTTTGTTTTAGATCAAATGTGTAGATTTCTCTTACCTTGACACTGAACTAATTACCGCAGGTTGGATTAACCGATTATGTACGTGTTTCTAGAGACTTCTGTTTCCATCCTTATCGCAGTAAGAAACAACTAAGTATCCATACAGGGGAGTTTTCACTCATTTAATATCAATGATACATGTATGGTCCCACTTCAGCAGTATTTTGTTCAGTATTCAGAGTTGCTTTATAATGAAGCGTAATCTAAAGCACAATTTCCAACCAGTTTATCCAGCACCTGGAATATACATGAAAATACTGAACATTTACACAATTCCTTTTTGGTTAGGGGCAGCTACCATGAAAGTCAAGTAATGCCACTGAAAACACAATCAGCAGATTAGCTGATGCTAAAAATTCTTAAAAACACGTTTAAAGTTGGTACTTACACTACTCGAATGCCTAATTTCCGATTGTTCAGAAGTGTCTGTATCGCTTTCCAATATTTTTGTTGGAGTTCCCATTTTGTTACTTGTATCTTCTGCTGTAATGAAAAAATAGATAATGATTGTATTTGTATATAACATAATACTAATTTGTTGTTATCTAACATCAAATCATTTCCTCTGGAAATTTGGTTTAAATGGCTGACCGTCCGACCTTTTTAAAATAATCATGGTCATCAATTATCTGGATTTGAGAGAGCTTCAGTATCTGTGACAAACAATCTTTAGATTAACAATCTATATAATTAATACGCTACATGAAACTTTGTCGGTTGAACTCCTCCGCCATTTCTTAACTGATTTTGTCCATTGACGTCTCATTGGAAAGAGCGTGTCGCGTAGATTTGCAAACTGGCCTTACATTTTTGTAAAAGTCCCTTGGCCTCTGCCCCATGGCTTTGAAAGTTCCCATGTTATCCTTATGAAGAACATTATTGTTTACATTTTGATCAGCTGTATAATTTAATTGCTGTTATTTATTTTTCAATTCAATGAAACTGATTGAGTACATTTATTTACATTTATTTATTATGGTATTTGAGTTTGTGTAAACATAATCCCAAAGACGGATCGTGTTAGTATGGTTGTATCTTAAATTTGTGTATTTATCGTTGTTTACTGTCGCTATGACGGATCGTGTTAGCATGATTGTAACAAAAATTTGTGCATTTATCGTTGTTGTGTGTAGCTATAATTAGTTTATTTGTTGTTTTAGCAAATTTCCCTATAGGGAAGTAGCTATTAACGTAGGTGGCATGGTAAGACTTAGGCCCGGGACTGATTTACTTTTTTCTTTTTTTTTTCTTTTAACCCTCCGAGTGTCACGCGTCATAAAAATGACGCACAACACACTTTGTGTAGGGTCACGCGTCACTTTTATGACGCACAAACATCGTTTACGGCGAAGGCTCTATGACTGACTGAATCGGATTGAACTGGATCGAGTTAGGTATCGTTCTTTCCGTAATATTCTAAGCTTTCTCCAGGATCTGTCTCTAAGCGCTATTCATTTTAGTTCCGAAAATATTGTAGCAGACAGCTGACGTGCGTGTATTTGTAAACAGCTAGGTTCCCCCGGACCGATGACTGATGTGTTTTATTACGTTTATCATTGTTTTAGTGTTAAAAATCAAAAGTAGTGATATACGTGGTGCATTATAAGAAGATTTAAGTGGTTTTGAAGTGCTGGTTGATGATCCTGAAGAAGTAGGTAGTGATATTGATGTAAATTATCAGCCAGATTCCTAGCTATGGTTAGGCTATGCATTCTTAGCTAAACGCTATGTACTGAAATCCGTTTTTCGCTCATAACTTATTTATTTGATAACTTACCTCGCTATATGATTATATATTTGTAATCCTCATTAAATTTAGAACAAAGTGGCTATTTTCAAATATTTATAGGCCTATAATTTATACAATTTCATTGAGCGCGAACTTATTTTTTTTTTGAAAATTTTCGAAATTAGCCTATATTTTTTTTACCTAAAAATTTTTTTTTTTTGAAAAAATGTTCCTTATGTTTTATATATAATATTGAAGCCCATGATTTTCCAAACAAAATGGTATATAGAACATTAGAATTGACATTGTTTTAAGCTTCTCAGATCCGTTTTAATAAAACCTTGCAAAGGGGCCAAAAATAGGTGGACATTAAGGCCTAAACTATGGACACTCGGAGGGTTAAATGCCTCTGATGCGACGAAAACGAAACATAAGACAGGAGGCGTAATCGTGATAACGACCGCAGCTACAGAACAGTGGCGCGTAATAGGCTTAACTCATCACAGTCAGCACCTGACCCTGGACAATCTCAACTATTAGGTTACAAAATGCTCCCTAACACTACCCCAAAACTACTTTTCGTTCTCAATTGGCCCTCTATCAATGACCTGTGTTGCCTATACAGCGAGGCATTTTGAGAAGGAGAAAACCGGCCGGAATGCTTTAGGTTTATCAATAAGGAAGATAAACATGGTCTGAGTTACACACCGGTAATGTTTGAGTTGACTTTTTTAAACTCATTGTAAATATGACTGTTATTCATTTTGAAATAACTCCTGTAATACTTTGCAAATGCTCGAATTCGAGCAACATGTACACTAGTTTAAATTAAAGCACTCTAGTTTTATTTATAAATTTTGGTAAATGAATATAAATTTCACTGTTTTCTTCTGAAGTTAACTATTCTATTTTGCATCATGGTTGTTGATATACATAGTTCATGAGTGAGATAAAAAAGTTCATAGTCTATGAGATACATAAAAATGAATATAATGATTTTTAGTTATTTTTTTATTAAAATGTTAATTGTGTTGCAGTGTGTTAATGAATTAAGGAAAGATTTCAAGGCCATGCAAAACAATCTTAGAGACAAGGCCAAGCTGGAAGAAATTATATGTAGGCTATAGTGAAGTTTTCATGCAAAGGAAACATAGGCTGATGTGTTGACTTTGTCAATGATTTGTGAAAATCCATAAGACAAATAAATGATATGATTGATTTATTGTGAGGACTGAGTTCCGAGGTTTACATTATTTATTTATAGATACGCCTAACACATTATAATTTACAACACATGAAAGCTGACGTTGTTGGTAGGATTACGTGAGGAATACAATGCTAGGATTAAAAAAAAAACAATAATCGATCAAATAAAAATGCTACAGAAGTAATTTTTACTATTGTTTTGGAGTGGTAGGACAAATTTGAAAATGTTTAGTGTTGTACACCAAATGATAACTACTTAAAACCCGTTATTATAAAATTACTTGTTCCTTACATTCTTACACTTAATGGTTATTAAACCCCCTTTTAACAGGTCTTGTTAAAGGAGCCAGACTACTCCAAGATGTACTCAATTCACAAAAGGAAAGTTGGAACTTAACCTAAAACCAGTGACTTTTAGATACTAAAGTATTCATAACCAGCTGTCACCAATATAAATACCCCCGCCGCAGCAAACCTGCAGACTAAGCGAATTTCCATTTGACTGATTGGATTTACACTGAAATGTCTACTTAAAAATATAACATTTATTCTTGATTTAAATAGAATTAGTTTAACAAGTACTTAGGTTTGCTGCATCAGGGAGGGTAAAACTGTTTTTTTTGTAAAATGTGAATAGTTAGTAAGAAATAAAAACATTTTCCAAATTTGATCAAAATATGTTCACAAACAAGCAAACTACAACAGTTTACTTATTCTCCATAAGAATAACATGGGAATTTTAAATTTACAATTTTTTGGAATTTTCTCCGTAACCATTAGGCGCATAATAACGCTTCAATATACTAAATTATTTGTTTTTTAAGCTCTACAAAATGGTTTGGAAAGAAATTGCTAAATTTTATGTTTTTTGGGTCAAAAATGGGAAAAACCTATTTTTACCCCATAAAACCCCCCGTAAACCCCCGTTCCCATGGTCCGATCATGCTGGATCGCGAACTCGTTCAAATAAACGTACGTTTACACGTTTTTACCAAATTTCATCAAAATCGGATCATTTTTGCTCGAGTTATCGTGCTGACGGACACATATATATATATATATATATAAATATATAAATATATATATATATATATTAGATATATAAATATATATATATATATATATATATATGAATTTGAACGGATGGTGTTTTTGGCCTCTAGGGACCTCAAAACGAAAAAAAAAAATCGGTCCCGCGTCCAGGTCTTGCCATGAGTACTACGGTAATAGCTTATTCCCTATATGGGAAATTCGCTAAAAAAAAACATAGTCCAATGAGCTTAAAGTTATATTTTCACCCTTGGTTTTTTATACTGAGATAGGTACTATTTATGTGACATAATCAGTAATTTACAATATCATAATCATAATTATCCTTATATATAATACGTGAAGGCGATTTCTACGTAACCCTACTCCTCCGATAATAATGGACGTATTTTTAAAAACGATGTGTCAAAATTAAGTATTTTTTGAGTAGACTGTAATAAAAGTCTTTGGGCTTTGCCCCACAGGTCGTCAAAATCCTAATGTATTTCTTGTGAAAGGAAACATTTTGTTTCCTTAAACAGACAAATAATTTGTATTAATTACAGCTGTTCATAGTAAACACATATGATACACACAAGAGAGTGTACAGAGTGAGTTCGTTTTCACTCAGTTTCGATAACTGGAGTGAAGTGATTGATTCAATTGGAGTTGACTCTTTTATATCATAGGAAATTGTGACTGTTACGGTATTTGTATTGTAATATAACGTCTGTAATACTTTGCAATTGCTCGAATTCAAACAACAGGTGCACTAGTTTTGATTCAATATCTGGAGCCATGGGGTTGGAGTGTCAAAGTTACCTGAGAAGTTGAGTGTTCTCAACGCAGGTCTATCTGGACTCAACTGTTTGTAGGAAGGTCCCGGTCGAGGCTTATCTACCCACGCTTCTTTGCATTTGACTACCACAACACCAACATAGCAACAAGCATTAGCACAATGTAAATTACTTGTCAATCTGGGCTGGCACGGTTTAAAATACGTTCAACGGTCTAGATAACCTGCTTGTGGATATTGCACCAATGTTTGTTGAATTCAAAGTATTTTTTTTAGATCTATTATAAAACCTATTTAAAAATTGTTAGGCTCATAGGCATAGGTTTGAAGACACATCAGGTTCAACTGAATGGGAAACCCTCAACATTTTACACTGCAGGCCTACACAATAATTAGAATAGAACGTATAGAATATTTGATTGTCAGCATTTTCAACTAAGGTTCGAGTAAGGAAGAAAATCGTCTTCAGGACTTAAACATCTTTTATTGTAATCCAAAACTTTGCTTGGTTGAAAATACTGTCAGTGTCAGTCAAGTATTCTAATGATTGTTTAGGGTGCAACTTACATTGATGTATCTTGTTCCAGAAACATTAATCCACTCTATTCAGGTAAGCCTGCTTTCCCAAAAACATTCCTTAAATTATTGTATTATATTTTACTTTTCATTAAATTTGATCCAAACAATTTTGGTAAAAAACTCATTATAGGCCTACACTATTTAGAAAAGAAGTGAAGATAATGATAAGAATTCTCTTTGTGGAGGTTACAATGTATTTTTTACTAGAGTTCATAGAAAAGTATCTATGACTTAAATTGGGGAGTGTTAGACATTTTCTACCAAATTTTGTAAATTCACTTTGGCCAGTGATCCTTGCTAATTCAAAAGCCTATAGGTTCGGTTAAAAAGTTAAAACACACCGAAGCTTATGTTATCATGTGCCAGCCCTGGAGAAAAAAATTCAAACAGAAAACAGCACATATTAAAATCAACAGTGAACCTACTGGAATAAATTTAAAAAATGTAATAGATACAACATAAAAACAAAACAAAAACAAACAATTTTCATGTGCAGAAATAGCCAAACTCAAAAAGTGGGTGAGGTGCAAAAGCATAACAAGCCATGCAGTCAGTGAGCGGAAACTCAATGAAAAGTATCACACAAAGCAATGCAGCTACTTACCCAGAAAAATCCTCTCGTCAAAATCCCCAACACTTAGGACATACTCTTCATACAATTTGTTACAAGCTTTTAAGTTGTTTTCAAAATTGCTCAGGTCTAATAATCCGCTGAATGTTTTTGGGTCTCCTTGGAGAATCTGAAAAAAATGACTCTGTTAATAAAATTAATTATGAAAATATTTCTACACCAATGATTTCAAGTATAAAGTTAATTGTCAATATTTAATGCACAATGGCCAGCAAAGTAGCCTAAAGAAAAGACATAGATAAAACCATTGAGTATAGACATAACCTAACATAAGTTAGGTTTATACTCAATGATAAAACATAGGAACAACTGTTGAAGCCAAGTTTATTGTTAGTTCTGTCCGGTACACTATAGAGGTTGTGCTTTGTTTAAAATTTTTTTTATGGTAATTTCAGTCATTTAAAACCTTGTTTAACCAAATAAAACTATATAATCATAAATAATAACTCGTACCCTAGTTATATAACCAAACAGTAAAGCACTAATCACAAAATTAACTCTAAAATAATATAAATACAATTGTTGTCGACAGTAGTGATCCTGAGCAAGAACTCAGAAAAGAAAATAATAACTTTTGAGAACAAAGTTTTGAGAACTATATATGGACCAGTATGTGAAGATGGAGTATGGAGAATCTGCCACAACCGGGAGCTAAGAGAATTATTTCAAGACCCTGATATCATTGGAGAAGTTAAGAGTAGAAGATTAAGGTGGGTTGGCCATATCCTAAGGAGAAAGGAGGAGAGTCTACTGAAGATAGCACTCAGAGGAAATCCGAGGGGAAGAAGACCAATAGGTAGACCGAAAGCCAGGTGGTGGGGTCAAGTATGAAAAGATTTGGAAAGGATGAGGCTTGTAGAGGAAGATGCATGGGACCGAGACTATTGGCGACAGCGTGTTGGTGAGGCCAAGTACCAGCTAGGGTACAAGTGGCCATGGCAGTAAGTAAGTAAGTAGTGATCAGTGTCAGACAAGAAAAATGAGATTCAAAATTTACAATGGGATGAGAAGTCTACTTTTGGTTTGTTAGTCTACGGTACAGGTATCTGCTTACACAATTAATATCAACAGTTCTTTGTAGAGCAAGCACTGAAAAAAATCTGCCGAGTTTATAAAACAACTCTTGACATTAATGTAGCTAAACAATTTATAACACAAACTGCCTTTAACAAAACGGCTAACATACAAAGAAACAAAATACCAACACAGTACCTTTCTGTCAAAGAATCTCTTCATGTGGTTTTTCCAGAAATACTCTTTCATTCTCTTTGCTTCTACCAGACCACTTGCATATTTTTGACAAAGGTGGTACATAACGCATGGTGGTTCAGTAGGCGGTTTATAACATCTTTCTCCATAATTTTTTGGAACACCTTTAACAAAACATTTTACATAATATAACTACTGTAAGGCTTAAGAATAATTCAACCAATAAGAATAATTTAAACACAAGTTTCACCCATAATAAACTAAATCAACAGTTGCTAAAATTTATAGAACATCTAGTTGAGAGTGCATTGTACTTATTAGATTGAGTCTTTAAATAACTAATGACCTTAAATTGAAAATTATACCTTATACCTTAATTTTAACATTATAAAAAACCAACGTAAAAAACAATTGTAGTTATGAGGATTAGTTTTAAGAAATGTACAACACATTCAATGCTAGGCAAAACAATGAATAAAGCATGTTTTGACTTTTACTTTGAACCGTTTCAGAGCAGTAGTTCTTTACTTAGTGCTGGAAAGTGCTCGAGGCGATTTGAAACAAAATTGCAATGTCTGAGAGAAAAGTCCTCCCTTATCTCCCTTTTAGCGAATTTCCCTATAGGGAAGTAGCTTTTACCGTAGGTGGCACGGTAAGACTTAAGCCCGGGACCGATTTACTTTTTCATTCCCTTCAGTCCCTAGAGGCCAAAAACACCATTCGTTCAAATTTTTATATATGTATATATATATAGATTTATATATATATATATATACGTCCGTGAACGCGACAACTTGAGTAATTTTTGTCCGATTTTGATGAAATTTGGTTTAAAGGTGTAAGGCGGGATAAACTTGAATGAGTTCGCGAACCAGCATAATCGGACCATAGGAACGGGGTTTTACGGGAGGTTTTATGGGGTAAAAAATGGTTTCATTTTTGACCCTCAAAACAAAATTACCCAATTTCTCTCTTGACCTTTTTAAAGAGCTTAAAAAAACAAATAATTTAGTGTATCAAAGTGATTTGTACAATTATTGGTAACGGAGAAAATTCAAAAATTGTAAATTTAAAATTCCCATGTTATTCTTATGGAGAATATTGTAAACTGTTGTATTTTGCTTTTTTATGGATATATTTTGATCAAACTTGGCAAATTTATTTATTTTACACTAAGCTATTAATATTTTACTAAAAAATACACTTTATTAGTTCCCTTGTAGCAGCAAACCTAGGTACTCATTAAACCTAATGTTATTTAAATAAATTTAATTGAAAATCAGACAAATGGAAATTCGCTTAGTCGGCAGGTTTGCTGGGGCGGGGGTATTTTTTTTTAATATAGGCTATTTGAGATTTGTTTGAATTGTATACATAAATACTAGGTCTCTTATTTGTATTAAGGTTCACCATACAGGTTTTTATTCAGTGTAAGAAATAGTCACTTACACTTATCATACCTGAAATATTAATATCCTACAAATACTACCCTAGGCCCCACCTTTTACTTTCTCCCCCTATACCATAGTATATGGAGAAAGTATTGTTTTCGTCAAAATTTCGAGTATGTTATATTCTGAACAAAATGGTACAAATCCCATTTCTGTAAAAATTACGGTTCAAAAGTTATTGTAAATTATGTTATTTTCCCATAAAAACCCTATAAAATAACGGAAAATCAGATTTTCCCAAAATTGGCTCGAACGATTTTGATAAAAATTTAGTATGTTATTGTCCTTTAAAATCTGAAGAAAATTTTACAAATCCCATTTCCGTATATTTACTCTCACCGCTTACACATGATAAAGGTTGTTGACAAACTTATGGGAGAAAGTATGTGTCAGAATTCTGATACCGTTTATTTTACTTTTCCCACCTTAAATTCCCTTATTAATGGTAATTTTCTAACTATATTTTAACTGCTAATTAGACATACTGCTGATGTTAATTACCTGGAAACTTATTGTTGATCAGGTCCGTACGATCAGCCATCACAGCGTTAGCGAAGATGAGATCGCAGCATGACAGGAGCAGATGTACACAACTGACAAGGTCATCACTACTGTCCGGGTTCTCTGATTTCACACTTACATAAAGTGTCCAGACAAAGTCAAACAACCGACTCGACGTGCAAGGCAAAGTCCTACGACACAATAATATACATTGTCAATTGCCATTGAAAGGGCACACCTAAAGGTTACTTCCAAGTAAAAAACTAACATGTAATACATAAAATATGTTTCATATGTGTTGGAAGTAAGATTGTTTCGACTATTGCAATGAATAATTTTTAGATTAGGCTATTTGGTTTAATTCAGGCTCATAGACTAAGAATAACTTGAAACCCAAATCGTTTTTGGCACTTGATAATCCAACACAAGATAAGTTATTCCAACACATTTTGATCGAGCTAAATGAGTAATTTGTAATCTAATAGTAAAAATTGGTGTCCATAGAAGCCCTCATAGAACAGTCAAAATTTGGATATCATTAGGAGCATATCTTGCGATCTTGGCGACACTGGTAATCATCTCCTGCGATCACAGCAACACCTGCAAGGATGTCCTTAGGTCTCGGTGACACTGGTCATCATCTCCCAGTCCCACGATCACAGCAATACCCGTGAGGATATCCTTCGGTCTCAGTGACACTGGTCATCATCTCCCACGATCACGGCAAAATCCGTGAGGATATCCTTCGGTCTCGGTGACAATTTCATCGTCTCCCGCGATCACGGCAACACCCGTGATCGTCCTTTCGGTTAACCAAACACTCGGTGCTATCGCCTATCAAGTAACAGGTAGACGGTTGGACGCTAGGTTGGATATCCAGAGGAGTTGGATATGCCGAGGTCAGATATGAGAGGTTGTTCTACTGTATTTTAATGACGTGTTAGGTCCTAGGTGTATTTAAACAAGTTGATTTTATCAATATTTGCTTAGCTTACAGAGTAATGTAAACAAGCCATATTATTTTATGTTATCCAACATTTTCAGTCATCCGAACTCTCTTAATCCCGTGGTTTTTGGATTATCAAGAACCAACTGTACCGGTACTTAAATATTTACTTAATTAGATCTACAAATATTTTGTCATTTCCTTCTGGATTGTTACAAAGCATCAATGAAAAATACATGGGGTTGTTTGATTGCGAAAATGTAAAATATCCAAATAAAGAAATAACGTTACTAAGCCTATTAGATCTATTAGCCCATAAACTTAGTATAATTTAAAGCTTGTAAATATAAAGTTAGGCCCTACCTTTGTTTCTTAGTTTTGTTTTGCCGGGGTTGATCAATCGTTGGCTCCACAAACATGTCATTAAACATTAGTCGGAATTTCTTAAATATCACATTTGACACATTGTAGTTCCTTTCCAGGCGGTTCAACTTGTCTCGGAATTCAGGAGAGAGATTCGTCATGTCAGCCCACTTTTTTGATTTGTTAAAAAATTGTAACAAGCTGAAACAAATAAATATGACAGGGTGAAGATTAATAGTTACAGTGTAGTTCACATGGTATTGCGAGCAACTGGTGTCGTACTGGAGACCGTCAAGTCATCCTTGAGAAATTGGAAGTTATTGTGGTCAGGGGTGCTTCTTCTGGTGAACTGTTGGTTGAACATGGAGTCCCCGAAGGATAAATTCTAGGCCCTCTGCTCTTTCTCCTAATGATAAACAACTTCAGTGGTGGGCACATATTACATGTATCCTATGTGGGCCATCATCAGGCTGTAAAAGGACATTTTCTTTCTTCACATGAAGAGTCATATTTAGTACATAAAAATAAACACATACACATTTAAACTCAATAAAAACATGGGCACAAAACATTTTTATGATAACTGATCGGTTGATAACAGACAACACTAACCCGGCAGAGTCAGAGTCCAGACTGCCGGTGGTCAGTGCAGTAGGTATACGTCTGTTATCTTATCACCTCAGGTTGTGTCCTGTCTACCACACTTCCCCTGACAGTGTCATACTTCAAATTCCATCAGACCAAGAGTTGATCATTATTTTGATCAATGCGAAAATTCAATGCACAGTATTATAATCTAGGCTTTTATAATAGGCATGATTTTACATTTTAGTGGTTGGAAGTTACCACTAGCAGAGTACCCGTCCTTCGTACAGGGTTGGCATATAAGTTTAAAAAGCTTATTGCAGTTATACTTAAGCTGGGGGAGGACACAGTTTGATAAAATTTGCTTCTTTAAATTTACGGTATACTATGGTATTAAACATCTACCATAGCCATAATGTTCTACCACTTCACCTAAACAATAAATACAAATAAATTATTAAAAATTCGCAAAGAAACACAAATTATTCATGACAACAATCCTACTTTGACAGTTCTCATTGCGTATCACAGTTTTTTGTTGCCGCTTAGTTCAAATTAGCTTTTTACATATAAATGAAAATATATATATATATATAGTGCTGCACCCTATTGGTTAATCTTATAACTTTTTTATACTTTTGCATATCATAGAACCAACTTTTTTAGTTGAAACAGCTGACTAAATTCTTTATCACTTTAAATATGAATACTCATAAGGTTAACATGGGGAACTACAGAGCCACTGGGGCGGAGCCTGAGTGGATTTTTGAGATAAGAATATTATGTTAATCGGAATTGTGAGCTAGCATCATGCCAAATTTTAGCCTAATCCGTCCAGTGGTTTATGCGTTGAACTTTAAACAAACTTTCACATTTATAATATTAGTAAGATAAATGTTTCGTGACCGTGTTCGTATTTTGTTTAAAAATTTATTTATTTTCATGTGCTAAATATGGCGCTCTTCATATAAAAAAGAAAACTTGCTTAAGTGCTAGTGGGCTTTGTTACCAAGACCAGCTGTTTCATTAGTCAGAACCATTTTATTAAAAGCACACTGATCAAGGACAGCTGGGTCCAGTTTCGAATCAAAAAGCTATAGTGATAAGCAGATATAGGTAGCATATAGGTTTTTAGCCTACCCTGACCCCTTTTAAGAAGACCTCAAAGCTGGCCAAATACTTACATACCGGTAGGGAAAGAGACGAATATCTTCCTTAGGATTCAGACCACAACAAAAAAGATAATCCAATATAATATTTTTAACAGGCCTTAAGATCAGACTTAATAGACATTCATTATACCCTAGGCCTAATTAAGTTCATAATTTATTCCTCTATAATGAATAACATTGGAATCCAACCCCATTTTACAAACTTTGATTTTGAACAAATTCCCGCATAGGCTATTAGAATATTAATCTAAGGTAGGTCCCTAATGTGAAACCAAACTTGACCAAGATTTATTAACATAGCCTAGTTTATTTTTTTTTTAATATGGAGTAGCCTATATGGTAAACAACTAAGCCTAACAATGCAGAAATAAGAATTTTAACTAACAATAATAGGCCTACTTGTTACAAGTTAGCATGAGTTAAAACATGTCTACTTACCTTAGATTGCATAACCTCAGTAACCGTGTTAAGCTTACAAGATTTCCTTCTACCAGAGTGGAAGCTTTAGAAACAGTTGGGGCTACTGACTTTCGGCAAGCCACATATAGAGAGCAGCCTAGCCAATGAAGCTGGTCACCCTATACAAACAAGCATGTAATAGTTAATCTAAATAGGCCATTTAGTCAAGAGAGAAACTTATTTTATGGACAACAATTTTAAGAATAAAACAATAGACTACGAGGGTGGTTTTTAAACTAAGGGCCGGTTTTGCGTAGGCTAAGCAGTTTGGTTGTACGCCGCAACAAGGCTCTTCACCCTTTACTGGCATGATTTGTGAACAGAATGACACAATTTCCAGCTCTGTAGCTGACATGAATGCTTTGCTGTAAATTACAAATTTTGTAAACTAAGCTTATAAAATCTCCCACCGAATGTGAGAGAAGATCAGTGCTACATTTGTTATCGCAAGAAACATATCCGATGCTGACATTTGAATCGTGACTGGAGTTTATGACCCTCATGCAATGATAGTGGTTAAAGTAGAGAAAATAGGCTAGGAGGTTTCAAAAATGTACGCTAAAAAGTTCTGAAGAAATTATGTTAGGGGTAATTATTTGGTATGTCTACAACGCGACATTATGTACTTTTTTGATGTCTACTTACAGTATTTTTCACGCTGAATCCAAAAATGCAATCAGTTTTTGTCGGAGAGATTCCTAAATGACCGTACAGTTAAATAATTAATATTAAGCTTCAGTTTTGTTGTAATATTCACATATTTGTGGTATGGACGAGTCCAAGTTCTAGTGGCGACTAACACTTAAAGGGGAGGAAGGATTGTGGAGTGGAAACAGCTGTCAGTTGTTTACATTCGATAATAACAGACAAAACCACACACGACGCCATGAGAGCAAAATCAGAGTTACAATATGCAATAACTAGATTTTGAAAAGAAAATGGACTTTGGTGCTGTTTAGAAAATACAATAAATCAACTACGATACATAAACTATTAATCACATCAACATAAATTATAGAACAAAATAGAATCTATTCACGTAAGATATCAGTAATAGAAGCAAGGCCACTGCCGCCATGATCATCGTCCTCATTCCAATCCTGAACCATTGACTAATGCCTCAACGTCTGTTAATGAACGTGCCATAGTGCATAATCCCATAGTACATAATCCCATTGTGTCTAAAAGTGAAAACGTGCCACAGTGCATAATTTAATGTATCAGAAACTAATAAATAGAGTTACATAATCTAATCTAATCTAATCTAACCTAACCTAACCCAACCCAACCTTAAAAGTAATGTTTAAATCACATTTTATGTCAAAACAGGCATGTGAGGAAGATAGGTCGGACTTTATGCGGATTCGTGACTGTATTAAGTCCTTTGAAGTGAGGTTAGATTAGGTAAGTTAAAGGTTAGGTTATAATGAACCGACTCATTAATTTATGCAACTTCCAGACTGTTTTTGCACAATTGAAATAGTGGGTGAAACACAATGAAATAAAAATATCAAAAATGCTTACGCATTAATAGTTTATGTATCGTGGTCTGGACGGGTCCGTATGTGGACTGAGGACTGAGTGAGGAGGAGAGCAAACAGCTGTTTGTACTCGATACTTAATGCGGAATGAAATCAATTCGTTTTGAAACCAGAGATAATCAGAATCAGTTCCTATGTAGGCATGTGAGGAAGGTAGGTCGGGTTTTATGCGGATTTGTGACTGTATTAAGTGTTTTGAAGTGAGGTTAGATTAGGAAGGTAAAGGTTAGGTTATTATGAACCGACTCATTAATTTATGCAACTTCCAGACTGTTTTTGCACAATTGAAATAGTGGGTGAAACACAATGAAATAAAAATATCAAAAATGCGTAAGCGATGCGACTCATTAATTTATGCAACTTCCAGACTGTTTTTGCACAATTGAAATAGTGGGTGAAACACAATGAAATAAAAATATCAAAAATGCGGAGTCTGGAAGTTGCATAAATTAATGAGTCGGTTCATAATAACCTAACCTTTACCTTCCTAATCTAACCTCACTTCAAAACACTTAATACAGTCATGAATCCGCATAAAACCCGACCTACCTTCCTCACATGCCTACATAGGAACTGATTCTGATTATCTCTGGTTTCAAAACGAATTGATTTCATTCCGCATTAAGTATCGAGTACAAACAGCTGTTTGCTCTCCTCCTCACTCAGTCCTCAGTCCACATACGGACCCGTCCAGACCACGCCATATTGCCATCAGTATAACTCAATGAACCTTAGATTCGTAATGTTGACCCTCGTTTTACGATCATTTAGGATCTCTCCGACAAAGACTGATTGCATTTTTGGATTCAGCGTGAAAAATACTGTAAGTAGACATCAAAAAAGTACATAATATCGCGTTGTCGACATACCAAATAATTGCCATGTTAGGCTATTGGCAGGTAGGCCTACCCAGACTTCTTACAGAAGACCACAAAAGAAAAAGGATTTCACAGCAATTTTCACATTCCATAACCCACTTCAGCACTTTACCCTCAAACTCATTGCATTAGGGCCATAACTTAGCCCTCAGTCATCTTCCGAGCGAATCGGCCACCAATCTCACATCAAGGCTTTTAATCGACACAATAAACTAAGTCTAGCTGTTTTATTGTAAAATTATCAGAATTAAAAGGCATCCTATGGGCCTAGATAATCGGATTAAAGAAATAGACCTAGGTGGACATAAGTTAGGTATGACATTTGTTTAAGTTACAAGATGACTTTCCTATTAAAACTGCCAGAGGTTGCCTTTAAGTCGTGCGTGTAAACTAGTCCTAGCTGTTCTGAATTTTATTCAGTTTTAATTGACTATACCGGTACTCAATTCCTGAACGTAGGGCGGGCCAACAGCTTTAACTTGTTCCGGGCTTGAAATAATAAATTATCCTGATTAATGAAACAGCTGATCTTAATCAGTTACAAAGCTACAAAGATCATCTTACAGCATTCTACTTTTATTATACACTCAAAATCCACTCATATTTGGGTAAAAATAGGCACCTCGGTGGCGTCCCCATCTCATAATGATAGACTAACTTAATAATAATAGACAATAGGTAGATTTGATTCCTTTAGGCATACAGATAATGCAGTAACTTAGGACAAGTCAAGAAGTGGACATGGTAAAAATACCTAACTTAAAACGAGATAAGAACAGAGAGACAAAGATTTTAATGTTCTTGTATCAATTTACCTAGGCCTATGGAAGCCAGCCGATTATTCAGAAACCAAAACTTTGACATGAACTTCATCATTCATACAACTAACGAAACTAAAAGCATAAGAAGTGTACACAATTTGCAAAATAACCTTGAAAGGGATAAAAATATGCCTCAGGTAAGTTAGTAAAGGGTTGTAATGTCTGTAGTAAACCAACCTCCAATGTGTAATTTTGCCTTATACTGTCATAGCTTTGCCAAGCTACGTAAGCCGTTTCTTTATCCATGTTCAATGCATGACACAAGTCTTGATGTTTCTTTAACAAATCTTCTCCTCCATCCGCACAACCCATTTTGAAATAATAACACTAAATTAAATCACTGACAATTTCCACTTTCCAGGTTCACAACACTACACCACACCAACGCGAACGCAGACAATGTTTACTTTACTACTTTACTTGACGAATGAATGTAACAAAGGCCTGTAAAAAGCACATAGCACAATGCTGATGGCGGGAACAGAGTCTTCCAACACATTTATTATTCTTAAGAACATTCTTTAAATAATTAAATTCACGAGATAAAATGTGTGGAAAATGTTAATTAATTGGTCTGTATTAGTTTATTTGCATTAGTATTAGACATTAGACCTAAAATTTTTCCCATGGTAAATTGATTAATAATATTTTAGTATTTCCCATTTCCCACCCATCTTTTCCTTTTGGCGGGAAGGCGGGAATCAAACTCATGGACAATAGAAGAAAACATCAATGTTTCTCCGTATTATCATACTAATATATGCTAATATTATCACTGTATATAATCGTGTATAGTAAATCGATTGTATTGAAATTATCACAATAATAAATAATATGAGACAAAGTAGCATAGAATATCCAACAAGTTAGTGTCATTTGACGTATTTTTGTGCTATCAGGTAATTTAATAACATGGGGTACTTGTATTGTATTGCATATGTATGATGCTGATCAAGATGTACCATATATAAAACATAGTCCGTTTTATCTATGGATGTACAGTACTAACCAAAACAAATAGACTGTAGACTCCATCCCATTTTAAAACGTTTTTATTAGCTCGCTTTCTTGTCCGGTACAAATTTTGCAATCAATTTTATACTAACTTCCCGATGAGGTAGATAAATTAAACTTGAAACATAGCTCACAAATGGAAGACAATGCAATCTTTTCTTGCAAATTTTGATGCTTCCCGATGAGCTAGAGACTTGAAACATAGCTCACAAATGGATGGCAATGCAATAATATATCATTTAATTTTTATATTTCCCTTGGGCTACGCCCCATGGGCTTGTTTTTATTAGCTCGCTTTCCTACAAATTTTGATATCAATTCTAAACAAAGTTCCTGATGAGCTAGGGACTTGAAATTTGAAACATAGCTCACAAATGGATGACAATGCCATATTATTTAATTTAATTTTTATATTTTCCTTGGGCTACGCCCCATGGGTTTTAAAGTTTTCCATGTTTACATTTTGGAAGAATGTAAATATATCAACTAATATAAAGTCAGCTATAAATACTTAAATTTGACAGTTCAAAGAGCAGAAGTTAAGAGGTACAGGTTATGCTCCCAAACGGACATTTTTTCAAAATAAAGATAAACAATCTGATTGCAGATATAAAGGCGTTTGTTAATCATGTCAATTGTTATTTATTTAGTATTCTATAATGTAATCAATAAATTAAATAGATTGATATATTTATATTAGTAGGTGGGCCATACATTCACTCTATACATAATTGTAAATTATGAAAAGAAACTCAAATAAACCTTAGATTTCCCACATACCTCTGTTTAAAAAAGTTTTTTATTTATAAATTATTAAGTTTTGAAGCTTGTTTTTCGTGTGTAGTTCATGTCCCGCAACACTGGTGGCTATAGTGTCGACAACATTTAGTTTCTATTATTTTAGAGTTAATTAAATGATTTGTGTTTTACTATTTGGTTATATAACTACATTAGAGGGTGAGTTTATATAACCAACATGAACTATACCAACGTCAAAATGGTTTTGGGAGGTCATATGTAGTGTTGTATTATTTATGATTATATCGTTTTATTTTAGTAGCCTACTGTTAAAATTATACCAAAAGACTAGTAGAAAACATAAAAATTAGTCCGTTCATGAACCTTGCAGGAAACATAGTACTTACCATTATTTTTTGAAATCTGATGAGTCCCTAGTGGTTGGGGGAGGGGGGGTGGAAGTACCATTTTAGGGAGGTGAAAAATTGTGGGTAGTGATTTTTGGGAACATTTTTATTTATGGGATCCAAACAAGTAGGGTGTCATATTCTATGCTTCTTAGGATGTAGAATTGAAAAAAAGTATGATAAAGTCAATACAACCGACATTTTATGAGAAATACCCTCGCTGCAGCAAACCTGCCGACTAAGCTAATTTCCATATATCTGAATTGATTTTTAATTAAATCTATTTAAAAAAAATAGGTTTAATGAGTACCTAGGTTTGCTGCTACAAGGAAACTAATAAAGTGTAATAATGGTTTAATTTACCTCTGTCAATACCCATGTAGCACAGATGGTTGGGCCAACGTTGGTAAATTGTGGAGCCACACAGTTGGCCAACGGTAGAAATGTCACCTCTTTAAACTGTTTTCCAGCCAACCATTGTCCAACCGTTTTATTTCACACAAAATAATAAAGATTTAGTACGAAAAGCATAATTATTAGTTGAGTAAATTGATTAAATAGTTCATAAAAACAAATTTTGAAAAAAAACTAGAACAAAATTTTTTTGGCCCAGACGGGTCTCGAACCCGGGTCCTTCGACTTATGAGCCTCTTACTTTACCACTGAGCTATCTGTGATTGCTGATATAGAGAGTTTTCAAGTGGTGAAAGAGTACCGTAGCCGACAGTTGCAATGGTCGCAATACTTCAAACATTTTTGATACTACACAGTATAATATGATTCTGTTAATCTGTTAAGGCATCATAAGTAGTTTTTTTTTTTTTTTTTTGGAGTTAGAGAGGATACTGGTATTTGAATGATTAATTAATTACCGTTAGATTGTTAATGCTATTATAATTGCCTGTTATATGATTAATTACTCTTTCCCCTTAAATTGTTGCAAATAAGTTAAAGAATATTAATTTAAAAAATATTTGCATTATTAAAATTATTAAAATTCATTTTTGTAGCGCCGGAACTGTAATATATAAAATATCTGGTTTTACAATACCTTTATCAGTTCCAAAAACTTTTGGAAACTTTTGGAACTGATAAAGGTATTGTAAAACCAGATATTTTATTATAATTATACTGTGAAAGCTAGACCCAGAGAATGAAAGTCGTGTAAACTCAACTATGGACCATTGTTGGTCCAACAAAAGTATCTTTTGTTGGTCCAACGGAGTGAAAAACGGTTGGACAACGGTTGGCTTGATGTATGATACCCAGCAATGCATATTAATGTATTTCATTAACAATGAACCAATGTTGGTCCACAGTTGTAAATATTGGTTGGCCCAACTACGAGATATACAGTTGGACAACGGTTGGTTGGTTGTGGAAGCTCCAACCAACCATCGACCAACTGTACCACAGTTGGCCAACGTTGGCCCAACCATCTGTGCTACATGGGTATGGTCCTTGCGTAGTTTGTTACTGCAGTTTCGTGCTCGTGGAGCACATCATCAGGTGAAGGTCACAAAAAGTTAAAACATTTTCCTTACGTGAAGGTCGTCAATTTAACACACCGAAAAAACACAAAACACACGAACGGTACGAAAAAAACATTTAAACTTGGCCAATACATTAAAGACATTACACACGGGGTCCGGCGCCGGTAGAAGGCAAGTCATGACTGACGTGTGTTGTAGACGGTAGCCCCCCCGTCCTCACTTCTCTTATCAGGACCTTTTCTTTGGTCTTGTTCCAGGATGTGAATGGCGGTATTATAAATAATGTTTGACTGGAATGAGAGTTGTTCGTTTAAAATATGGTTTGGATGTACTTTAGCTGCTCGGTAAATCTCAAATTCTTCGATGGTGTCCATGTATTTACTTTTATGACAAGTATGCATTACTTCTAAATTTGTTTGTATATCGGTATAACTATGGTTTGAATCAATGATATGGTTGGCAAAAGCTGATTTGGAGTTCTTTCTTGGTAAATGTTCCTTAAATCTAGTTGCAAAAGAGCGTGATGTTTGCCCAATATAAAAACTGGGGCAATCATTACATGTTATTTTATACACTCCAGTGTTGTTTAATTTGTCACTATTGCTGTCTGTTTGTCTTTCTTTTAAATTACTGGACAGTGTTTGTGGTTTTGTAAGCAACTGTGATATTGTTTTTTGCTAATTCTTTTTTGAGAACATTATTAAGTACGATGCCATATTCCGCACTAACATATTTTTTGGGTTCTTTTGTATGTATATGATTATCCTTTTTCTTGTTTCTTTGTTTCCTAATCAGTTTGTCGATCAGGGCACTCTCATATCCGTTAGATACTGCGATGTATTTTAATATGTCTATTTCATTGTTGTAATTTTCTGGGCTTAGTGGAATGGAAAGCAGTCTATGGACATAGCTATTGTAGGCAGATAATTTATAATTATGGGGATGATGCGAAGTTGAATGAATTGTCTGGTCAGTGGTTGTAGGTTTCCGGTAAATTTTAAAATCAAACCTGTTGTTTGCTCTTGTGATGGTAACGTCCAGGAAATTTAATGTGCCCACAAGTAGAAGGCAAATTTAATAAAGGCAAATTTAAGACATGACTTGCCTTCTACCGGCGCCGGACCCCGTGTGTAATGTCTTTAATGTATTGGCCAAGTTTAAATGTTTTTTTTTTCGTACCGTTCGTGTGTTTTGTGTTTTTTCGGTGTGTTAAATTGACGACCTTCACGTAAGGAAAATGTTTTAACTTTTTGTGACCTTCACCTGATGATGTGCTCCACGAGCACGAAACTGCAGTAGTGACAAACTACGCAAGGACCATATTGACAGAGGTAAATTAAACCATTATTATTGTTGCTGTATGGTCCAGAGGCTACCCATCATGTAATAAAGTGTATTTTTTGTAAAATATTATAGCTTATATTATAAATTTGCCTAGTTGGATCAAAATATATCCATAAACAAACAAACTACAACATTTAACATTATACTCCATAAGAATAAATGGGAATTTTTAATTTACAGTTTTATTTTTATTTTCTATATTACCAATAACTCTACAAAAAAAGAAAGCAGGATAACCCTGTTTTTTAGGATGCAGGATCAAAAAAGACATAATAAAATCATTACAAATTAATAAAACAGTTTATGGGATAAAGACAAATTTATTCATGAAAAACTAAATATTACAAATCAATTAAGGTAAAACAATCCAGTT